ATATGGATTAATGTCTGGAAACTCTGCCTGCAGATGATGGCTGCTGATCTCAGGAAAGCTGTTGTATAACCTAGTGCGTGTGTTTGAGACGTTCATTTAAAAAAAAAACTCAAGGATGTCATTTATTGTCCATAGAGCTGTTTTTCAGCCGGTCCTGTCTTTGCAGCGGTAAAAAATGAACTCTTCAATGCAGTAATGTTAAAACAAGTTGTTTTTATCGATAGTGTTTGAGCCAGCAAACTTTCGGAAATGTATTTAAAAATAGGAAACATTATGAAGATATTTTTTAAGTAGGAGAGACATGGGACGACCTCTCGACTTCAACCTATAATATGCCGATCGAGCCAACACACAGCTGGGAATTTTTTCCTGCTTAAGATTCTCTCGAGATCAGCAGCTTTCAATCTTTCTAATGACATCGGGCCTCATTTATCACACAGGAAACCATCAATCTGCATGTTTAAGGATTTATTGGACTGGACATTCAATACTATAATTTTTTTTAATAATGACCTCTTTAAAAACCTTGTATCAGCAAGAGACAGAAACTTAAAAATGTCAGATGGACATAAACCATTTTTCAAATGTATGCATCAAATATATTATACTTGAGTTGATCAATCCGACAGCTTCGTGATGAAAAAAATGTCAAGACTTTGTGGCTATATTTCTTTTACAAATCACTTCTACTGTCAGAAGTTCAGACGGGAGCAGGATAACTGAAAGCTATATTCCTGTAAATACTCTTAGTGATTCATGGTCCCATTTATTTACGTCTTCCCATCTTTTTAAAGCAGAAAGCCGTTCACCTTGTGCTCGATGAATGGGGCCCGTGTCTCTTGTGTTGACCGTTGCTTCAGCAGTGTCATCCATGCTGTTGTTGTGATTGATAACTTATCCATGTCAGGTCAGTTGGTCAGAATTAAATGTGAAAGGTGACCTTCAGAGCGACATGAGGCAAGTGTAGCCCCCCCCCTGCCCCCCTCACTTACACACCAGACGACAGCGTCCTCTGTGCCTCACATTTGATGTCTCCCCGAGCAGGAGCACCATGCATTTTAATGAAATGTAGTCATGTCACCAGAGGGCACTACTGTGCTTTATTTTTGATCATCACTGCTTTCAGTAGATTTGACATTTTAAACCCAAAACCTAAAACCAGTTTTTAAAGGAAATCTGAGTTGCTCTTACTGTAAGTACAAACAGGGATTAATTTCTGAAACTTTGTGCGAGGTCGATGTGATTAGATTGCCCTTATGATCCTTTCTACTGTGTGGTGTAGGTATTTCACTACTTCCTGTTTACTGTTATTGATGCTAAGTGGTGATCAGATGACAAGCAGATCTTTAACAATGAAATATTGGACATTAGGATCTAAAAATAGACTGTAATTGATGTTTTTCAGGGCAAATGCACTTGTATTTAACCAAATGGCCCTTTGGATGACTTCCAAAATGAGTTATTTTCTCGTGAGGCACTTCAGCACAAGCCTTCCTCGAGTTGCTCTAAGTTGCTCCTATTCAATTTCCCTGTATACTAGCACATCTCAAGGCCCAAATGCCTAAATGAATGAGAGAATGAGCCCCAAATCACTGGCGTCCGAACAATGTTGCCACTAGTGAATGCTGGCAGCTGTAGTATTGGTCCTCCAGGCCCAAAGGAGTGACTTGTTGTTGGTTTTCCATCCTCCACAGGCTGCCTGTAAATCTCCTCCTCCTCTTCCTCCCTGCTCTCCTCTCCCCAATCCCTCTCTTTCTCCCCACTGGACTCCACACAGACCTTTTCATCCTCCTGCCTCTCTGTTGGCCTGGAAAACTAGACCTGCCCATTCACACACTACTGATCTGTCTCACCTTCTTAGCCATGTGGTTGCTCAATCTATTTTCCTATGTATGGTTGTGTGAGTATTTTTCTCTGTTTTTCTCACGCTCTTTGGTCTTTTTCTCCTCTGCCTGTCGTTATTGTCCCTCTTCTGTACCTTCTGTCTGCTGTGGGACCTCCGCACCCTGTCTCTCTCTCTTAGTGGGGCAGTGTCAGGGTGTCAGAAGGGGGCAGCAACTGGGCATGGGGATGATGGGGGGGGTCCTTATCGCAGTGACAGCGTGAAGAGCATGGTGTCAGAGGGAGTGAAGGCTGGGAGGTGGCAGACCGTCCAGGGCCACATGCAGTCTGGAGGATTGAGACCCAGCGAGTGAGTTCAAACCCGGGTAGAAAGAAAAACTATTTCAGTGACTGTGCAGCAGAATCAAAACACATTATTACGAGAGTTGTTCCAACACCACTGTTGAGAGAAATTGAAGGACCAGCCTTACTGTATGTGACTAAATGTGCCTTGGATTTATTCTAATTATTATTATTATTAAAATGAAAGATCATGTGTCAGCAAGTATGTGAGTGTATACAATGAACCGATATCTCATTATCATATTATTTTTCTGCTCAATTACTCTACACAAAAACGACAACACGTACTCCATATTCACACAACCTGTCCGATCCAAAACTGTGAATCTGCAACCATCGACAGATATGAGAAAGAACCGAAACAGCTGACATGTTAGCAAGAAATAAGTCAGTCATTTGGCAGTATTTCACACCAAAAAAGAAGTCTAAAAATACGTTTTTAACACGCTGGTATCACCCAGTACGCAAGTTAAGCTAATGGAATTAGTATCAGGAGGATACAAATTGTATCCATTAAATTATTCCATTTGACATATTCTTACAGGTTTGTGCCTCGGGCACAGCCATGATTAGCTCTGAGTGGGGGGGGGGGGTCAGGTCACATTCAGCAGGGAGGAAAGAGCAGCTCAGGTGTCAAGGTGAGATTTTGGCCGCAGATCATAGTGTGAGCACTGAGGAAATGTGAACCCTCGTCATCATGAGACGATAACAATAGTTGCTGGAGCGGTATCACACTGGCTCAAGCCTTCAGCTGTCACAGTGGGCAAGCTGCTGCACAATAGAGCCTCATGTATGAATCTGCAGGAGAATATGATTTATTTATGTGAGGAACTGCAATGCCTGCAAGTGTACTCTCCAACACGAGACACAGAAATAGTCTCATTTTCACACTGACTTAAGTAATGTCTCATGTCGTGCGAACTCGCTCTTTTAATTAAGATTTAGAAATGTGAACCGCATGCTGGTTACTCACTGCATCTGTCCCACAGCCATGACATATGACATGAGTTAGGGTCTATAAACAGCGCGTTGTGAATGAGACAGTTAATTTTCAGTTCTTCGTGATGCTTTTGCACCTTGCTTTAGCACCTCGTGCCTGTGACTTCTTCCTCCACAACACATTTACGCTCATCACTACCTCACTCCTCATTCCCTCCTTCTCTTCTCATCTTTCTTTTTGCCCCCTGTCTATAATTGGATTCTATTTTCAGGCTGCTATAAGTGTCTATGTCTCTTGTGTTTGTGTCTCGCACCCCATTTTTCTGTCTCTCCTCCATCGTCACCCTCTGCTCTTATCGGTCCCATCGGTCCCTCCATCATTCTGTCGCTGTGTAAAAGCCACTCCTCTCCAACAAACTGTTTTTCTTTTTGCAAAAACCTTCCATTACCCTTTTTATCCTTTCAGTTGTGACGGTTAAGTATGATGGACATTAAAAGCCTAAATAATCTGAGGTGAAGTAATGCAGAGTAAACTGCATCTAACTGATGTGAGTGGCTCTCATGACCTCATTCTGGTAGTCTGGGTTACACAGCGATGTGAGAGGAGGATATATTTGGAAATACATATATCGAAGATGATACATGATACTGTAGAGCCAACAAAATAGGAATCAAGTTGGCGTAAGTGCACTGTGATGACATCTAAACAACATGTAAGCAATAACATTTGTAATAGAGGCAATGAACCAGCATTAATAGAAGGGAGGAGTGGAAAAGGAGAGGCTGACAGAGGGAGGGAGTCGTACTGTAGGACTTGGTTGGCTGTTGGGATGTCTCTAGAGATGCAGCATGTATTCAAAAGACTTAGAGACAGGAAGAGAGGCTATCAGAGATGGAACAAGTCAAGTGATGAGTAGAGGACATGGGGATCGCTCATCAGACCAAAACACCCTCGACGAGAAGGCTGGGAACCTGCAAACGCTTGACACACACAGCGCGACGCGGCCCTGTGCGGACGGTGCACATCCGCCCACTCCCCACGCGAAACACACTCTCACGCAAACAGCACGCTCTGACACGCAGGGCGCACACACACCTGGCGCAGACGCACAGGGCGCGCTCACACACTGCGCACTGCTGCCCGACTCGGGCCCATGAGCAGCACTCGGCACACAGCGACCACTCGGGCTGCACCTTCTACTGCTATTTCTGCTACTGCTGTTACTGCTGCTGCCTCACGGTGCTCTCTTTCTCTCTCCTCCTCCTCCTGTCTCCACTTCCCCACGCTCCTCCCCCTCCCACTTCATCCAAAATCACTCTTCCTGCTTCCTCCTCCCCCCCAACTTCCTGTTTTGATGCACTTTCCTGTTTCTATCCTGACGTCAACCTGACCTCTTCTCCCATGTCTCCCTTCTGCCCTGTGCCACCATGTCTCATATCTGATGATTCTCTCCCTCTCTTCTACGTCTCATCCCCTGACCACCTCACCTCCTGTTGCCACGGCTCCTCTACCACATCCTCTTCTTCCTCTTCCGTGCCCTCTGACTCCTCTCTCCCTCCTCCTCACCCCATCCTCTGCCGGCCGTGGCCTTCTTCGCGCTCTCTTTCCTCCCTGCTCCTCTGCCCTCCCAGCTTTGGGGATCCGGTCTTATCGTACGCGTCCACTTTGGAGCACATCCCCACCCGGCCCCGGACGCTGCTCCGCCAGCAGAGTCTCCAGCAGCCTCTCATCCACCCGCCGGGACCTCTCCTCGGCAACCCCCCCACAACATCCCAGAGTTTGGGACAGTTACACACAGCACCTGGTCAGCCTGGGGGAGGCGGGGGTGCTGGGAGAGGAGAGGGAGGTGGTGAGGGTGGGGGTGCAGGTACAAGAGGCGGTCCCAGAGGTGCTCGGGGCAGCCCATCAGGAGCGAGGGCCTCTCGCTGTGGGGGAGGTGGAGCCAGAGGGCGCTCACAAGCGAATCCTGGCAGCTGGGATTACACGATGGACCAGATGAAAAATCGTGGCCTGGACGTCAAATCCTTCCTGTGAGTCTCTTCAGCTCTAACTTCATGTCTTCATGGAGTCTTTGTGGTGTCCCCTGCTTAGGCCTCTGTGTCTATCTGTGTCTTAACGTACTTTCTATGCTATTCTATGCTAACTGGAGTTATTCTATGTGTTTGTTTAAGGTTATTATAAAGCTTATCTGAGAATCAAGTAGTTAAATATGTAGCTCTGTTAATCCTAACCAATCTGCTTTTATCTTTCTGTTCTGTTTCTTATCTTTTGGGTGTTTTATTTTCTATTTGTATCTGATATCCAGGGAAGGATATTACTTCTCTCTTTCTCAAAATACAAACTCTCTATATAGTTCTGATGTTTGAGATTGTGTGTTTGGATGGTGTGTGTGTGTGTGTGTGTGCAAGTGCTCAAGATGAAGTCATTGCTTTCACTGTCACACTTTCAAGGAGTTATTCTGAATACAGTTAGAAAGGCAATTTACATGCAGCTAATCATTTGAATGCAGAATGATGAAGTTATGCATATGAGATGAGAAAATCTATTATACATTTTAATAAGGATGGAGTTATGAATCTAAATAAGCTGTTGTCTTTTAGCTCTAAGCCCTCAGTTGTATAATCTAATTTATGACGATGTCATAGATCACACAGGGATATTAACCAAATAAATTATGTTTACTAGATGTTGTTGTCATAGGGGGATTATATTACTTGATATATGCTTTATGATCCTTTCAAATCTCGACTGAAACCAAACGCGTTTACTGAATGAATAAATCAATCGTGAGCAATGATAGTTTTCATGATTTATTTGTAATAACCTACAGAGCTGTAGTAATGATCAGTTGAGATGAATTACAAAGCTTCTTATTGAGCAATCTAAAACCCATTTTTCATGAGCATTCAAAAATGACAAGGAAGTTGTGAGATATTGAGGGCAGTTTCTATCCTGTGAAATGTTGTTCAATGTTTACACTGTATGCTCTGCTAAACAGCAACATCTGTTTGGATGGCATCAGCCTGTCTGCTGCAATTGGCTTCACAGGACAGAGCTGTTGGTGCCATCTCACAATATTCATGAGATGGTTTCTTAAACGTCCCATTTCATAGTCATCCTTTGGAATGACTGTTGAATATCCTGCTTAAAGGAGACACACCTAATCCATATTTCATGAGTTATTTCTCCTAAAACAACACCTTTTTTCTCCTGTGACACTGAAACGTTTATGCTAATGGTAATGCTGTGTGCCTGATGACATGTGTGTAAGCATGTGTGTGTATCACACCGTCCACGTGTGATAGTGCATCAGCGGGAAGAACCAAGGTTAAGCAGCTGTGTGTAGGTTTGTGTTAACCCTGGAGCATTGATCTTATGTCACCAGCACCATTACTCCTACAACATATTGTTACTCCAGGCCAGGAGTGGAGGGAGAGCCGATAAGGGAGGGAGGGGTGTGAGGAAGGACACTGCCAAGGTACAACATGTGTTTCATGTCCCTTTGCACAGAATCATTTTACAGTAGCTTTTTACCATTTGTTATTTTTTTATTTGGGTTAAAAATTCTCGGGGCAGTTCAGTATGACGCAGCTGGGCTAATGTCACTGGCTAACTGAGCATTAGTAACGTAGCACATGCCACCACCAAGGTCATTGAGAATATTGCCCATCACACGCGACTAAACTAGCCTCTCATCATCGTAAATGTGCAGTTGAGGTCATACTTTATGATGTATTTGCTCCTCTGCAACACCTCTTATGATTGATGGCATAGCGGCCCAGTAATAGACATGACCCATTGTTCAAGCCAGTTAATTTCAATGTTGGCCTGATTCCCTATCTGGGTGAATCACTGCTCTGTGGGTGTGTTGATGTGATTGACACAGATATCCTGCCTTTGGAGCCATTTGACCAAATGGATCTCATGGGTGATTTGTCTTCAAGCTTTTTGGCTAAAAATCAATTGCCTAGTGTCATTAATGTCCATTCCTTCTCTCGCCCCTGCGCCATTACCTTTAGACACATCTACAGAAGTGTTTAACCAATATTCTTGAGTGTAAATGCTCATACTAAAGAAACGTGATGGGAGAAGGGCAATCCAATAGTCATTAATAAATAACCCCTATCTAATTTATAGGTACATTCTGAACATTTAGTGAGCTGTAACACATTAACACCACATGTTGCTATTGCTGTACAAACTAGTCAGCAATAAAGCAGAGAAGTTAAACAGAATAAAAAATAGTATAAATGAAAAAAGTTAAAATGAGTAAAAAAAAGACAGCGTTCAGCTAATTAACTACGGAAGTTCTTGAAGATAAGGTAGACTGAGGAAGATAAGATTTAAATCAATGTTCCTAGACTTCATTATCTGAGTTATCTTCCTATTCTTTGATTTTGATTTATTTTGTCTCTTTTGTTAAGTAAATAAACATTCATTTAATCCTTGTCAGTTTGATTACATTTTTAATAATCCTTTCTCTAAATCATTTGCTTATTTTTTCTTATCATTTTTCAAAATGATAATATAATTATTATCATTATTTTCTATGAATAGAAATAAACAGTGACACAAAAACACTTTTACTGTATGCTCTTCCTTCGCTCAATAAAAAGTACTTCAGACAGATAATTAGCTAAAGATCATGTATATACAATTCAAATAAGTTGTTAAACGTATATGTTCAAAGTAATGGATAAACAGTTCATATAAAAAGCTAAAAGTGATAACATCTCTAAATGAACATTTGTGACGGGTGCCGTGTAGGGGTTTTAAATTAATCTGAAAGTGGCTGTCGTTCAGACATAAAAGTTTGAGTATAGCAGTATAACAGGGAGATTATTAAACCAGGCTTTATGGTGCAGCAAGAAAAGCTTTTGACGTCATTTCAGAAAGATGAAATTGTGGAGTTTGGGGTGATATCTTTCCACAGCTTGGCGGCCCTGTATGCTCTTAGTCGAGGTATTGTAACGCAGTGAGAGGCTTAAGCTATAGAACGGTGGGTGTGGGTGACGGGAGGAAGGGAGGGAGGCAGAGAATTAAGAGTAGGAGAGGATAGTGATGAGGGGGGGAAAGGGGATTTGGAGAGCGAGTCTAGCGTAATAGAAAATATGAAATGAGAAGAGTGCAACACGGAGAGTGAGAGAGCACTGACCCAGAAAACGGTGACACACAGGGCACCTCAAGATACTATGTCACTCAAATAGAAACAATTAGTCCAGATCTTCTTAATGAGGCTTAATTAAATCTTAATTCTGGAGAAAGGCGACAGGCATGTTCGATGTGAAAGGTGAGTGCGTAGAGAAAGCAGAAGGCAGGTTAAATAACTAGAATCATTACTCTGAGTGTGGTGTGTGGGTCTGTAAATACATAGCTTTTACATCCGTGCATGCTGCTGAATACCACATCCATTAACTATCATTAAATAATCAACAGCAGTTCCCTTTAATTATTTGTTGTGTGTACGATGTGAACACAGCCTGCACCTGTTGTCAGCACCACTTCATTAAAACCATTACGTTATTATTAACCTGACCTTTTTAGTTTATGGTTTCTAACTAATATCCTTCCCTGGACAAAATGCTTACTGCTGATGTTGCAGATTTTCCTTTATGACCGTTTCTCTGTAACTTTTCCTTCTGTTTATTCTCCTATGGTCTATTTACCTGCCGCCTCTCTACTTTGTGTTCTTGCTGTAACCTGAAATAACATCTCTCTTCTTCTCTCCCCCCTGCAACAAACCTTCTTTATGACCGATTTCCCTCTCCTTCGCATCTTTTCTGGCCTCTCGTTCTATCTCTTTATCGTATTTGTTTATGGGGAGCCAGTGAAGGGAAGCTGGTGGTCCTGGCTTTGGCCATTGGTGTGGCCGAGCAAGATGACTTTGCCAATATCCCTGACCTGCAGGAAACAGCGCAGGCACAACCACCAGCCAATCAGGAGCCCCCTCCTGAGAAGAGGTACCAGATAAACTATGAGAGTGCCTGTTGTATGTGTGAGGGAATGATGGTGTACAAATGAAAGTACGTGAAGGATATGATATCAAGGAAAAACGGCAGATGATATCGGAATCTAAGTAGAGGAGAGTAGATTTGTTTTGTAGTGTTTTCGGTGAGTCACAGCACTTAAGTGCTCTTTGCTACGGCCCTGCTACTAAAATAGCACCAGAGATTGACACTGTTACAGAAATAAAAATAAGAGCTGACTATGAATCCAAATGTACGAAAAAAAATCCTGTAAGGATGAGATGAGAAAAAGAGAAAGCAATTTGGATGTAAGCTGTAAAGCAGTAATGAGCTCATAAATCACAGCAGTGAGATTCTTAATGCTACTCCAATCCTTTTTTCTGCTTTGAGGGATAAAAAAAAAAAGGCAGCGAATCAAATAAAACATTGTTTGCTCATGCCAGTGGTCTTCTTTTCCTGACCATGATAATTATCTCCCCCATCGCAATTACATTCTCCGTCACCATTTCATATCTATTTGTGTGTCTTTTCACTCCTGCCTTACAGAGACCTCCCATTGGTAATTGTCATATTTCTTTTGTATTTCATGCTTTTTTTATCCAATTCCTTTCTATTCCTGTGTTTGTTTTTTCCGTCCTGCTCATTAGCTTCCTTCAAACAATCACCCTCTGCTGCTCCGAGAGTCCCGTCTCTGTAGCTGCACCGAGGGGCCCGGAGAGCCTCCTCATTATTCCACAACATTTTAGTCACATAAACACGCTGCTAAAAATAAACCTTTTCCTTGCCAGCCACCTTACACACTAGAAGCCAAAAATATTTCCACTCATCTATAAGGATGCACCGCTCTCGCATGCGTCTCCAAAACTAATTAGTTAGGCATTCTTTTTAGGAATGGGAACAATGTTTTCGTGGAACAGTTTAAGACTAACAAATGAGTACAGTGGGCGTGTCCTGTGAAACAAAACATTTAACTGCACTTTTTCTAGTGTTGTTCAATTTTCGGCAATGGATGGTGATTTTTGATTATTTGCATCAGTGTGTAGCACCAAAGCCAGAGTGAAATCCAACATTTGGTCCAGCCTTAGGCAGATGCGACACACTTGATTTCCTCTGCAGTCCAATTAGGCCGTTTTAACCCTCACTTTGATTCTGTGACAAATTGGAGACAATTTGGAGATACATAATATGACACACACCTTAAAACCAAATGGCAGGGGAGAGCGAACAAATTCTGATTTACTTGACACACCAATTATTCCTCATTCATAAGTGTTTCATCAATTTGACACATGATTTTAAACTAGGGCTCTATTAGAAAACAGATGGTAACTGTTTTCTTATCTGGACTGCACAGATGCAGTATGAAGCCCTTAACTAATAAGCATCTTTATTTATGATAAAATGTTACCCTTTAGAGTAACACTATGACGACAACTTGTGAAATATATTTGGCTCTTGGTTTGCCTGCCTCATTGTTGTCTCCTGCCCTGAAGCTTTCTGTGGCCTTTTCTGAGAGTCAACACGGCATGGAGTTGCAAACAAGCATTAAAATATTCTTTCAGCAACAATGTCGCCTTTTGTAAAACATCAAAACTATCTCTATTGCTAAGGATTAGTGTGAAACCTGCCGAGCCACAAAGGTGTGCAATTTTCTGTGTAATTTGCTGTGCACATTACATCTGTCTTTCCGAGTTTGTGTTTACCTGGAAACCTCCTTCAATGGCTTGTGAAATCCACTAATAGACTAAACAGAAGGAGGGAACCGCTCAGTCCAGCCGGTGGCCCCGCAGGACTCACCTCGATTTAACGGTGATTGAGTGCATTGTGGCATTTTGTAGATTAACCTGAGGTTCATTTAATTTCTTTCAGTAAAAACAGAATGACTGGCAGCTTACACTCTGTGAACAATGAAGAACTCGGATGTAATAAAAAAAAGATTTGCATATAATGAAAGCTTCAAATGTCTCGGCCCTTTCGTAAATTCTCCTGAGAAGTAAACTAATTCCACCGGAGCCACTCATTATTGTGCTTGTTTCATCATTGATTACAAATTCAAATGTATTATAAATGATTTAGGCACCCTTTAATTGGATACTAAATATAAAATAAACATATGTGCACAGTATATTAAAAATGCAAGGTGTAAGCTTGCTGGGAGTATATCATTCCCTGTGGTGTTAGTGCTGACTTCACAGATGTCTGACCATAATTTAATCAATCATGCTCTTGGCATATTGCTCATTCCAAACCGGGCTCTCGAGCCGGAGACAAAGCTACGCCTTCATTCGTCTCCCTCTCTCTCTCCCTGTGTATAGCCATATCAACGCAGTCTGTGTATTCACATCAAACATGTCCTTTATGTGCCTGCCACTCATCTGCATACCTGCATCACACATGTAATACCTCATTGATTTATTCAACCAAATGAATCATCTGCACGGCATGTGCCTTGCTAATTATTTCAGTCAAACAAAAAGCCTCTGAAGTTAATGTGAATAGTTGATGTGACTCTCAAACGTTGGCATCATCAATTCGGACATAAAAGGGACATCTCTCCACTGCTCGTGAATATCAAAGAGCTGCTCTGTGATGCCCTACATGGGAATAAAAGTTACAACTTCAACTGAATTTATTTAACAGATAAAGTCAAATTACCGAACAGATTTAGATTTCACATAATAAACATGGGTTACCTTAAAATATAATGCATAGTTCAAAATTAAACCAGTGATTTCAAACCTTTTCACCCAAAAACTGTATTTAGTTGCATTTGAACAGAACTTTGTGTATTTTATAAAACATAATAACAGTAAATATTGTAAACGCCAGACTTCAACAGTAAATTGATGTTTACATATTGATACATCAGTAATTGCAATCTAAAATTGTCAAATATAATAAATTAGTTTTCTGCAGAATGATTACTGATATTTGATACTTTATGTATATTATGCTGATAATACTTTTATATTTGAAGTGAAGTAGGAGTTTAAACGCTGGACTTTTGACGAGTATGCTTTCTCCACCACTCAAACAGCTTTGCTCTTGACCTTTAACGACAGTTGGCCAAACAATCTGGTTAATAGGATCAAGTATGAGAAGTCCTTCAGGCACAAATAACAACAGGGGGGCTTTCTTTTGCCCTTCAGCCATGTGTTAATGCTCCACTGTTGCATGGTCATAGTTGAAGGCAAGCCAATCAAACATACTGTTCTCCCCACTGGCCATGAGAAGGTGCGATAGTGCGTGATACTCATGATGCTCCTTGACTGACCTTGTGTGTGCGCTGGCTGGATGAAAGTGTTCTGCGTGGTCTTTTGTTTATGAAGTGAGGCAGGAGCTGACTTAGAGTTTCAACCTTAGCGTCAGTGGTAGTGATTGAGACTTTCAAACCATGCTTCACATTTAAAAGGGAGATTGAGGAAGTGAAGGTCGCATGATAAAAAAGCAGAGGTTAGATTACAAAAGATTGTTGCTTTGATCCTGGGGCCACACATGCTGAGATGTTCATATCCTAGGCATCATCCATAGGTTGTGCGTCTTAGAAAGCGTATCAGGATGTTCGAGTGCCTCCGTGATGCCTCATTGGTCTTCACTCATACCCTTCTGTTGCGATTCAGTGAACCTATACTGTAGATTCTCCTCCTGTGTTGCTATAAAGAGAAGCCACAATCCCCCAGAGTTTTGAATCTAGATCTCTCTCTGAGCAGACAGCCAACGGTCCAATGAGGATGGAGGTTCAGGACAGAGGAGGCGGGACGTATCTTCGTGCTACATTAACATTCAATCCACTTGCCTGTGGTCTTTCAATTATTCATCCATGCATGTTACATCATTTTGTGTAAGCCAATTGAGTTTTCTTCCTGCTCCAGTATACATCTTGTAGATATCAATAAATATAGATCACGGCCTCAAAGACATGATGCACTCAGCGAGGTTTTCTGAGTGTCTGTTAATTGCCAAGTGAGCTATATAATATTGCTTCATAATTGATGAGCTTAATACGTTGCTTAACTTGACGTGAAAGGCAAAAATGAACATAACGTATGGCGGTTGTGACCTTTAACCTAAATAAATCTATATAAATGTGTTTTATTTAACGTCTTGAATGTGTTTGTGCTCTAACCGCATTAGTCTGAGTAGGAGGAGTTGATATGTCTTTAAGCTAGTGAAGTGTTAGGTCATTCTGAGGTCACATGTACAGTGTTATAGTGTAAAGTGCTAATTCCAAGCTTTGTTTGCTCAGATAATATAAAAAAAAACGACTGTTACAATGCTTCCAGATGATATAATCTGTTTGTACATAAACATGTAAATTGATTATGCTATGCTCTGCTAGTCTGCCCCTCCTGTGAAAGGGGCTTTGCGGCCCGGCTTATCAGCAGTCTTCAGGGGGCTCTGCTTAAGACGGTCCCCGAGGCTTCGGCCCCCCGCGGCCATCGCGCTCATTCTAGCATCACACTGGGAATGTTGATGCATTTGCTTATGTGCTTAGAGAAGGGGAAAGTAGATGGCACTAAGGCGGAAAAGAAAAGTCACAAAGAGGCGGAGGTCAGTGCATTCGAACATCCATCAGTCCGTATGTCGGGGCAGGATGAGGGAATATTCAGGGAGCAGATCCATCTACCATCCAAGAGAGTAGTAGGACAGGGGAGTACTTATTGTACTCTGCACATCCATGCGTTATGCGGGGCTGAAGGCAGCACTCTAGCCAGCAGCCACTACATGCTGGTACACATCTCATACATACTGTACAGATAGATGGATTGTGGTTGGGTAGGGGGATCTATTTGGAGCATTAACCCGGGACCCTCGTGTCCTGCCTCATAATCGGTGGCACATCAGCCGCAGCCTCCACATCACAGGCAATCTGAGGATCTAATCGGTTTTCAAAACACTTTGATTTGGATTTGTTTATTTTAATGGACTTTAAAAAAAACGTGTTGATGATTTCATGTTGGGAAACTCCCTGGTGCGATTGGGTTATTTGTTTTAATTGAGCTCTGAGACATCTTGAATGCTTAACTGCAGAGTTTATAGGGAGACCATAAAGAGAGTCAGGGCTCAACTGCCACAGTATAGATAGAGTAGACACTAGGCTAATTTTTCGGATTAAAAAGTATCATGTTTGCAATGCTGGACTGTTTCAAAGTGAAAAGGGCAATTGCCGGCTACCGAAGTCAAAAGCATTGCATCTGAAATACCGCCTCTAATAAAATGAAAACAGACTCATAACGGCGCTTATAAAGATCAACATTTGGCACCCACTGAATTGTCTTGTGGTTTTTCTATTTCCATTTGAAGGAGCAGAAACACAGAAGGCAGCATTTAGCACCTCCCTTGTTGCTGCTGGGTGAAGTGGGATTTCAGTAAGCAATGCTATTTTAGACTCATTTCCAGTTCCAACGTGCAGGAAGTAATTAGTTAACAGTGAAAGCATCCATATTTATATGTCGCAGCAGAATTGTTGGTCGTAGGCTGAGAAGTGAAGCAGCAGGAATGACTCCAGTGTGAATGTACATGCGTTTCATGTGAATTATGTAAGCAGCGCTCTGCTTCACTGCTGTGGTTTTGACTGTGTATGATCCTGGGAAGTATGCTGTGGCCCCTGTAGAATGATAGATCTAGTGGGCGTCTTAGACATTGCAAATATATTACTTCATGGTTCCAGGCGAGCATGTTTGTTTGGGTGTGACATGTTTGCAGAGGGGTGAAAAAAAAAAAAAAAAGAGGGTCTGGGTTGGGCTTTCTTTCTCGCGTCTCTCTCCAGCCTAGAAGTGGAGTGTCTTTCCCCCCCTCCCCCTCTCTACGAGCTGCTGGCCCTCGGTCAGGTAACAAAAAAAGGATAGTATCACAGGACGGTGAAACCCAAAGTGGCCCCGCCTGCCTCCATGTGTCTGTCCATGTGTGTGTCTGCGAGGTTCTCACCCGTACCTGTCATATATCCTAAACCTTAATGTTCTCTGTGTGTTCGCCTGTTTGCTGCACCCCTCCAAACACACCCTTCCCCGACGCCCAACAACCTCTCGTCTCACACACCCCAAACCCCCAAATGTATGGTCTGTTTCTAGAGCCGTTGCTATGCCAACATCCCACTTTCTGTGCCTTAGCTGATGGAGAATCTGAACTCGAGTCCACTCTGCCTCCCACTGGATACTGTAGATAACTGCAGGCTTTAGAGCATCAATTTCCATATCAACCCCCCTAAGGGTCGGACTGAAAAAGCATTGGCACTGAAATGTAGCAGTTGTAGTATCTCCATCTGCCACAATTAATTTAGCTTTTTCCTGAAAACAATCCTCGTTTATCCAATTCATGATCTTCTGTATAATCTTGAGGAAGTATTTTATTTTCTGCAACAAATCTCCAGCTCCAGCCGCTTTGTCTAAACAGCCTGGAGGACGCTCAGGTGCTGTGGAGCAGGGCTGGTAGGAAGGCCATCCCTCGGCTGCACTAGATCTTACCTGAGAATGCACTGAACCCCTGAATGAAGCATGAAAGAGAATGAATAATTGAAGACGTTCACTACCCCATCGATAGTGGGGATGTGGAGGAGGAGGGAAGTGCCTTGCTTTACTTCAATCCCAAAGTCTCTCTCTGTGCTTTAGAGTTCTTTCGAGCTGATCCTCAGATCTTGGTTTAGTGTTATACCCAGCCTCTTCCTCGCCTCTCAAACTCGCCTGCAGTTTAGAGTCTGTGCAAGGGATTAACAAGCCCCCTGAAAATGTAATGACCTCCCTTGGCAACTAATACAACTAATACCAATTGATGAATATTCCCTTCCCTTCCTGAAACGGTTAACATCCCTCCTTCCCCCCCGTCTCGCTCTGGTTCCTCCGCTGGTTGCAGTGATTGTCTGTTTGCTTGTCTTGTTTCCTTGCTTGCTTTTTGTGTCTGTCTATTTGTCAGTATATTTCCCCCCAGTTCTGTCCTTGTCTTCAGCAAAAATGTACACATTATTACATTCAACATCAATTGTCATCCCAATTCGCAGCCCAACAAAAAAGTACATTCTCTCAGTGAGACGCTCGGCAGATTGCTGGCCAGACGGACAGACTTTCTATGCGCTCCTTGTTTTCGGCCTGTCCAAGGCATTGCTCTCACTCTCGGAGTGACAACTACTTGCATATAATATATATGCACATGTAGCCAATGCCAGTTTGTGCTTTGGCCTCTGTGTTCCCAGTTCAAACTTTTAGAGTGTTGCTTAATGGTTGGAAAATCAGGTTAGAAGTCAAGTTAACTTCTATAATTTGTAGCTATATTACTTTATTTCTATCAACGCCCTCTTTTGTGACACTCTAAATGTGCATCTCCTATGTTCTTACTATTTGTCCGTTTCTGTGTTTTCAATGATATTATATTTTTGTACTGTTTATCCTTATCTTTCTATCACACTATATCTCATCTTGTGTTTCTTGCTCTCTTTAACTGGTGATCATTTGTATTTATTGTCTTTTTTTTCTTCTGTGCTCTTTTCTCCCTTTAGCATGTCCACCCCTTTGCCTCTGTTAGATGTATTGTGTGTGAATAGCTCTTTATTTTCGTCTCTTATTCTTTGATACTTATCAGACTGACCAAACTAAGCCTTTCTTGTGTTTCCAGGCTTTCCTTCCTTCATTTCCTATCTTTTCTTGCAGCTCTGTTTCTCTCTAATGTGCTGGTGTTTGTAACGATCTCACTCTGTTTGGTTTTGGTTTCCGTAACCTCACTGTTCATGCTATTAATGCTTTCTATCTCTTCTGATACAGATTAATAATTTTCCGCTTTCTTTTTTCTATTTCTTACATTTCTTATTGAGCAAGTCTTTATGATTTCTGTCTACTGTTATGTGTGTCTGCAACCTCTTTGAGTCTTCTCATTTCTATATGTATGTGTCTCTTCTTGTATTTCTTCTCTATTTACCGTTTGTTTATTGCCCTACAGTGTTTCAATGTTCAGCCTCTCCATGTGCCTTGACCAGTCATCTATGGAGTGCTGTGTGTCCAATGTGTCACATTACATTGGCCAAGACTTTCGCATTTGGCTCTTTCTTGTTCTACCTTTCTTTCATTCTTTCTTTAATCTCATAATATTTATTCTCTTTTACTTTCTTTACACTTTGTGATTGTTTTCATGATGTATGTACCTTGAGGTTTTTCTCCCACACTGTTTGTCCCACTTTAACGTTATTTTTTCAACAATCCTCGTGTGAGGAAACTAAACTTAACATCTATTAACTTTTTACTAAGTACCAGCGTTGCCATGGGAGATCTCTGCTTTCTCTTGAGTTTTTTTTATATTTTTTGTTTTGTTGCATATTCTTAATAACTGAGATATAAACACATCAACACTACTTCATCTGTCCCGTGAAACGTCTGATCCTCTACCCGTTGCTATACATGTCTGTCTTTTGTACATAAAGTGACGTCATGTTGCTATAAATGTCTTTATACATGTGTGTCTCCTTAATATCTGTAGAGGGAATAAGGGTTGATCATAAACTCTATGGGAATTGGAGAATATATTTATTAAATTAAGTGGTTTTGTTTTCTGTCTGAAACTGTGTTTGTTAACTTGTCGGAGGTAACTTTTTGGTTAGAGATATGGATGTTTGCCACACTGGACATATGTACAGTCATCTCAGATTCCAAGTTTCATCAAACACAATTCACTGCATCAAATGTCCTCAGTTGCAGTGCCCGCCATTAATCTGTGGAATCTTTGGAAGATTTATTTGGCTTCGCTCATGGTAGCTAGAGAAGGCACAATCTACTTTGAAGTGACATCTATCCAAAGCAAACTTGGTCGTTTCAGATAGGCATTTTTCAAGCGCCAAACAGGTGGAGGTTGGACTCCCTGTGTGCTCAGACATTCTCTCTTTCCAGAGACGTGTTAGCTTCTCAGCACATGTCCTTGCTTTGTTTCCTCTGGATCAACCCATGTTTTTGCTTTCAGGGGCAACAAGCCAGTTAACAGCCCCAAGGGCCGACCCCCCGACGGCCAGTCCGTGACTGACCTGGCCAACTCACTCACTGGAGACATGGTGATGGTAAGACCCTCCCACCACACTTATACATGACATATTTTCTGCGTCTATCTGTGACACCAAGCTATACACATTGTTACCTACATGTAATGAATATCTAAGCCTTCAAAGGGTACCTATTGTGAAAACCCTTTTTTTTGTATTTTTCTATCTGGACTGCTCGCCAAACTCACAAACTGTCAAATAAGCCCAGCCAGTTTTTTGTGGGCTGCCTAGATAAGAAAATATGGGATTCAACAATTCAGATTTGGCTCCCCTTACCATGTCACATGCAGGCTTATTATAATATATTTCCCCCCATCTGGGTATATCCACCAACAGCTGGAGAACAGTACTTTTTGGCAAACTGGGGTTAAAGAGACCGTCATAATGCAGAGCTTTTTAACGGGGTGAAAATAACTATATTCAGACAGATAGCATAAAAGCACAAAATAGCAGACAAGCTATAAACTGTATGTAGCTTCTACACTGTAATGTTCCCTTTGCAAGAAGGTTTTTACTAAAACAGCTGCCCAATGATCTATTGGAGGATCATGCCACCCAGTGCAACATTTAATAGATTTTAGATTACAGTATAGCACAGAGGACTAAGCAATATGAGCAGTAGGCGTTTTGTAATTCCCTGATTGTAATTACAAATCTGTCTACTGCTACTAAAGCACCACAAGCAGCGCCATGGATTCATCAATACAGAGCGCAGTTATGCTACTGCTATTTCAGAGACATGATCAGGGCAATAGATTCTGAGCTGCACAGACATTAGTCAGATAAATGATCAATGTTTCAGGCCGACTGGATACATTTAAATAAACTTCCCCTCTGCCCCCGCACTCTCTCTGTCGGGGGTGGAGGGGGTTAACAGGGGACATCACTTTTGGTCATTTGTCTTACAAGTAGGATGCTATCCACCCTGAAATCACTACTATATATGACTTATTTAGCTACAAACACAACTGTAAGAAGGATCAACTTGTAGTTCTTCACTTTTCATACGATGTGTTGACAGTAGGGGACATTTTGAAATTTGCTAGACTAATTTGTGAAAGGAAACCTTAAAGGAGCACTCCAGCAGTTTTCTATATATATATATAAAAAAAATATAAAAACGACTGTACATCCTATCTGTAATGCTTGTGTATCTCAATCAATGCAGAACACAGCTTTAAAGAGGCCCTTTTAGACATGTTCCCTTTCCTGTAGTGTGTTATATCGTTTTTTTTGTGCAATTAAATGGTCGGACAGGGATAAAATCCCAAAGTTCCCTCCATAGGGAGTTTCTCTCCTGAACCAGAAGCCATAAGAGTGGAGGAAACTTACTGATAAAAGTTACATTTAGTAAACTCCTATGTGTGTGATTTTTGTAACTATTCACATATTTTTGGTAGCCTACTACAAGTCATCCTCCATGCTAGAGCCATGCAGGTTGATTTAAAGCTGCATGTGATAATAAGAGAGCCATAATGAAACAGTTCTTACAGCGGCAATCAAGTGAGACGAGCTATCCAAGGTGACTCACACTGTTTGATAAATGAGACGTGGAATATTTCACACTTGCGCTGCCTGTCACTTCTAAAACCCATATTGTCAGAAGCTGAGTCTTTTCCTCTTTGAAATTAAAGCTCTGAGCTAAAACACTGAGAACAACTATTTCAGTTGATGCTCTGATTGAGGTGACATGCAAACCAGACCACCAAGATGATATTTTCCAAAGTATCAATGGAGGAACTTGCACAAAGTGAGCTACTGATTGTATTATCTCCCTCAAAGTCCTCTAACGCTTCTTTCTAATCAATGCTATTGTTGCATAGAAAGAAGAGGAGAGACAGGAGGAGGAGGCAGGGATAGAAAAGAGGTGACCACAAAGCCTAAAGCTGCGAGTGCAGACCACCAACCTTGAGCTGAGATTTCGTTCACTCTGTGCCGCTCGTGAAACACTCTCTCTCTCTCTCCTTCCCACTCTATCTGTTTGTCTCTCACTCTCTCTTTCCCCTCTCTGTCCGCTGCCGTCTATCAGATAGTGGCCTTTTAGTGCACAGCAGTGATAAAGCAGTCAGGGTGGCTATAAGGGAGAATGGGTGGTCTAAAGCTCGCCTATCTACAATCTGAGCACCTCCTGCCTCTTAAGAACATTAGAAAGGAAATGAAACCCTCTCAGTGTTCTTCATGTCAGACCAATCTCTGCCTTAGAGCAGCTGCTTGAGTATGCTGTGATAGAAATACTGCTCTAACATCTCCTCCCCTCACAGCGTCTCTCTGTCACGGTCTGTGTGGGAGGAGGTGTGTGCCCTTGGTCTGAACTTCTCCTGTGAGTGGCTGCTGTTGCTGCTGCATGTGTTTGATATTTATTTGCCTACATTTGTGGCCCCGCAGCTGTCTCCAGGTTCAGAGGATGATGATGGTGAAGGGCCCATCAGTGAGAAGCTGGGCCGGATCCAGTTCAGCATAGGCTACAGTTTCCAAAACACGACCCTCACCGTCAAAGTTCTCCGGGGCCAGGAGCTCCCCGCAAAGGACTTCTCCGGCACCTCCGATCCCTTCGTCAAAATCTACCTGCTGCCCGACAAAAAGCACAAGCTGGAGACCAAGATCAAAAGGAAGAACCTCAACCCGAACTGGAACGAAACCTTCTTGTTTGAGGGTCTGTGTTGTTTCCATTCAGTTACTTATAGAAGAAATGCTGCAATTGTTTGTTTTTTTTGTTTCCAAATGTGCTATTAACATTTATTACACTTATGAAAAACCCTTCAAAAACCACAACAACTTGCTAAACATCAGTCAATGCTCACTAACTGTTTCCCCCTGCATACAGTTTTAATGTAGCTAACCTCTGGCTGTATAGCATCTTTAATTAATGAAAAAATATGAGTGTTATCGATCCTGTCCTTTAGGATAGACTCATGAATAAAACTCATATTGTTTATATTACAAAGTCTTGCGGAACTCCATTCTGAACTCACTGACAACCTTAAGTTTGTTTCATTGTTTCATTACATTTGAATGAACAAAGAGTCATTTCTGAACCCACAAGGAGCACTGTGGGAGATGTGTGAGAATTCACAAACAAGGCGTGATTTCTTTTTTTTTTCTTTTGTTCATTTATTTAAAAAAAAAAAAGCAATATTTTTTAACATAGCAACTGCAGAGGAAAAAAGCAGACACACAAGTATCTGTATGATCTGAAGTTGTTTCATTTTAACCATCTTGCCTGGATGACAATGCCCAATGGTGAAATAGCCAGTGATGTTCAAAAGGCTCCACAATGAGAACAGAAGCCAGTGCTCTTGAAACATGAATGAAATTGTTCTTGTTACTCGAGTAGAATGATCCCTCTCAGTCTTTTGAGAGAGCGCTGGCTGGTCTTGCAGTTTTCAAAATCCGCTTTGGCCTTTGCCAAATTCCTCCCCGTTAGCACAGTGCAGATTACCCTCTCTGTACTGTCAAGAATATTTATTTCACTCTGCAACGTAGCTCTCCCCCTGTTTCTTTCTCTGTTTTAGGCTTCCCTTACGAGAAAGTGAGAGAGCGAACTCTGTACCTCCAGGTGATGGACCATGACCGCTTCAGCAGGAATGACCCCATCGGAGAGGTGTCAATCCCCCTCAACAAGGTGGAGCTGGGCCAGATAAAGACCTTCTGGAAGGAGCTGAAGCCCTGCAGTGATGGCAGCGTAAGAGAGGGAGGGATGGCCATCAGGCCCAAATTATGAAGAATCCAGTGTTTTCAATTATTGCAGTTTTAATTTAAAGGGGACCTATCATACAAAATGCACTTTTGTACATCCTTTATACATGAATATGTGTCCCCAGTGTTCCAGGGAACTCACTAAGTGTCAGAAAACACAACCCTCTCTATTTTCCTCCATACCCAAATCTCTTAAAAAGGGGCTGCAACGGATCTGATACAGACTGATCCAGATTTGAACACTTCTATGACGTCACAGAAGTGGCGCTACGGCTATTGGGCCAACTCCGACAATCAGGAGGAGACAGCCACAGACATTGCCGTTCGAAAGGGCTGGAGACGCTGTAGCACATATGCCAGGCCTGTAGATGGTGCTGTTCTCACAGAATCAGCCCATGCAAAGACTGTTAAATTGAGCGAAATGAGGAATGGCTAAAATGCATGATCTGTTTGGTATTTTGAAAAATAAAAAGTATAAATATGCTTTAGGTATGTTCCTACACTATATTATTCAAATATAGCATGATAGGTCCACTTTAAAGTGTGATGTCATTTGTCGACTGCTCTTGAGAGCTCCGTTGACATTATGTCAGGTTGAGCAACAGGCTCAGCTAAGCCCGCCTGGTCACTGGACCATCTGTGTTTGGCATGAAGGGTTAGAGCAGTGATGTAAGGTTACAACTAGTGAGTAATCTGGAGTTTGACTTTCCCTGATGAAATCTGATTGGGTGATTCATACGCAATTGTTTGTGTTCCTCAGGGGAGACGGGGAGACCTGCTTTTGTCTCTCTGCTATAATCCCACTGCCAACACCATCACTGTGAACATCATCAAAGCGCGCAATCTCAAAGCCATGGATATCGGGGGCACCTCAGGTATGTTTGTTTTATCTTTTCTCTTTCTCACCCTTGCTCACCCGTCTGAAGCCCTTGTCATGACATTGGAAGCTCCATCTCTGTGTTCAAACATTTGCTGACCTGTCCGTGCTGGAGACGGTTGCCGTCTGGCCCCTAAGCCGAGTTGAACCGTAGATAGCTGCGGCAGCAAGGTGACATTAAATCAAGCATCTCTCCCTTGCCCTCTATCTTTCCTGCTCTCGCTCTCTTTCTGTATATCTAAGAGGATCTTCAGCCTCCAAGCCAAATCTGTGTCAGCTCAGTCTGGTTGTAGTTCTTAAAGTATCAAGTCTCCCTGTGCTTTCTGTGGCATTTATCTTTGTAAAATGACTGCTTCCTGCAGTAGTGTCTGTTAGTATTACAGAATATGATAATGCTCCAGTATCCTAGTACAAATCCCGGGCCCTATTTCCATAAATACTTCCTCATTTGTATGTTTCCTAGCTCAGGGGAGAAGTTGACCTTGAGCTCAAACTAGCTATCTGCTTCCCTGCTGTCTTCCATGACTTTAATAATTAAGAGATTAATTGCAAACCTGACACTAAAATGCATCTTTTATGGACATTTTCGCCCCTGCTATCATGTAAACTGCTCTGCGTCTACATTGCAGATCCATACGTCAAGGTGTGGCTGATGCACAAGGACAAGCGTGTAGAGAAGAAGAAGACAGTGACCATGAAGCGCTGTCTGAACCCCATCTTCAACGAGTCCTTCCCCTTTGAAGTGGCCGCCCACGTACTGAGGGAGACCACCATCATCATCACCGTCATGGACAAGGACAGACTCAGCCGCAACGACGTTATCGGAAAGGTAACGCTTCACACTACTCTTTGTGTTGTTGCCTTTGGTTACGCATATCCTCCTTCAGCTCCTTTTAAACTCCAAGGAGTTTGTTTTCAGTTTTGTTTGTGTATTTGTCTGTTGTTCTGCAGGAATTAAGGAAACACTCTGTGTTTCATGTAAGGCTGTAGCATGGGCCAAGAAAGAACCCATTACATTTTGGAGAGGATCCCAATCACGAGGGATACACAAATTATTTTTCACTCTCAGTACGATAGGGCATGGCCTTGGCAGAGAGCCCTCCTATTACATAGATGTGATGCCAAATGTTGGTCTCATGTCTATAAAAGTAAGCAGTCGCCACTGAGGTCAGTCAATTTGTGATGAGGTTAACAGTCCAGTAATTAATAATTGAATTATTTATACTCTCATACATTTTTCACCAGCGTTGACCAAAGTGACCAATGAATAGAAATATTCCTGGAGCAAAGTTTAAAAATCTGGACCTATAGGTCTACACAACAACATTTACGTGTTAGCAAAACTTACTGTTTTAATTTTGTCATCGGGCTAACCCTTTCTCTATTTTAAAGTAATTATTTGACATCAGGAAACACACATATTAGCTTTCTGGGAGACACTCTTACTGTATGTCTTGCAATGATGTGTTAAAGCTACAGCCAGGAGACTCGGGTTAGCTTAGCATAAAGACTGAAAGCAGAGGGACTTGCTCTAGCAGTTGCCAGGCAACCAGTGGAGACTCCAGGGCCTTACAGCAACAACAAAAAAGGATTAATTGATGTAAGGTTTCAATGGCTAAAATATGTTTCAAAATCCATAATGTGAGGCAGCTTGAAAAAACTCCACGCTCCTTCTTTCATTCAACTCATCCCTGCTCGCAGCACTAGTCCCTCTGAAATACCTGATGCCAGATATCGCACAAACATTGTGGCTCTTTCCGTTAAGGTGCTGCCGTGTCTGACTGAGGGCAAAATGAATGTTTTGACATGTCTAAATGACAAAATGCCATTACCTAAAAATGAAGAGATGTTTATTAATTTAACCTTTTTTTATATTCAAGGTATCATTGAGGTGCAATTTTCAAATGCATTACATGTCACTTGTTAGACGCTTTTATTCAAAGCGACTTACATACTCAATACTACAGGAGCAATTTTGGGTGAAGTGTCTTGCCCAGGGACACAACGACATGCTGACTGCAGTGAGGTTTGAACCTGTGACCCACTGATCCAAACACCAACGCTCAACCCACTGCACCACACGCCTCACCTTGCAATGCAAATGCAATGACAATTTTCAATTACAAAAACAAAGAACAGGGATAAACAAAAGGAAAACCTATACATAATTATGATTTGGAAAAACCATTGTAAAAATAATAACAACTAAAACGTTTTGATTGGGCAAGAATATTTTGAAGATAAAATAAAGTTATGCAAAACTGTTACAATAAGAGGTTTAAGATCAAATAAGATATCCAGCTAATTGATTTTAATCTGGTCTGGTATTTTGTTAAAGGAGTAATGTGCAGTAAAATGTTAATGTTCCCATAATTAAAATGCACTCCATATCTGAAAAGGGTTATATTCCTAAGTTTACTTCATCATCCTTCCCCTCTCTCAGATCTACCTATCGTGGAAGAGTGGACCCGGGGAGGTGAAGCACTGGAAAGACATGCTCGCTCGGCCGCGTACTAACGTCGCCCAGTGGCACGCTCTCAAGGCCTGATCGCACCGCCCAGCTTCGTCCACGGCCCCTCTCCGTCTCCCACTCCCCCCCCACCCCCCCTCCCGCCTGCTTCCTCCTCCCACCTGTCCTTATGCACAAGACTGACTTGCTGCCAGGCTGCGAAACACGGGTACAATTAGCCATCTGCTCTCTTAAACCTTTAAACTCTTTTTCTTTCAAAATCTCTATTCCTCTCCCACTCTTCTAACTTCTTCTATTCCCTCCTGTTCATACAGCTGTGTCTTAGTTTCTGTGTCTCACGACTTTGCCAATGGTCCCCCTGTTTCTGACTGTCTGTATGTCTGTCTGTCCTTATGCACTTTGCCTGTGGAGGTCCGATATTCAGTTTCTTTGTCGACCCCTTGGTTCTGAACTGCACTGCAACCCTCGACCCATTTAAGGTGCCAGTCCCGTGGGATCACAGAGAATCTTAAGTAACGATCTAATCTCATATAATCCTATTGTATGACTATTCCAGGTACACAATACTATACAGTATGTACATTATGTACATGTACATATTAATATATTAGGAATAGATTGGCAGAACTCCCCCTATACCCATGATTAATGTAACGTATGCTATCCATATCTGTCTGTTGTTTCCCATCCCTCTTTTCTCATCATTAGACGCCTTGTCATCTGTCTCAATTGTACTATATCCTGTCCATTTCAGCCTCCTTCCTTTTACTCAAAAGTGGTTTAATGTTCAGCTGAAGTCGTGGAAAGCAATCAATACTCGGTTTGTGATGAAACCTGCTAAACTCAAGATGAAATTGTTGATACTGCTTTCTCTTCTCTCCCTCTTTTTTCCCCCTTTATGCTCTTCTTCATCTCTTGTTATCCTTATGGTTTCCTCTTTCTCTTCCTCTGGCACAATGTTAGTGTATCCAGCCTTTCTGGACCCCCACCCCTCCTTGTCGTCTGTGTGCTGTGGGTGCTGTGCTGTAGCTCCAACAAAAATAGAGATTAAAAAGAAAAAAAAAACTGGACTTTCCAAAACTGGGAAAGCAGGAACACAATAAACGTGTGAAATGGATCGCTCCTGATTTTTCCAGACAAAAAGCCCTGAGACGGAGAGAGAAAAAAGAAGATGAAAAAGACCCAAACAAAAAGAAATCCCACATGATACCATGATGTCATTTTTCACAGCAAAGGAAACCAATTTAAAATCTTCTTCCAATTTTAAGATGAAAACAGAAGCAACAAGTTTGTGCACACGCATTTGGTTTTGTGCGCACTTCCGTCTGTTTATTGATGCTATGATCTTTGTCCTGTTTTGTGGTCATGTGCTGATGGAGGTCTATCTCCACGACTGAAGGTGGGTTAATGTGTGCCTCTTGCTATGTGTATGTGTGTGTTTGTTCACAGGAGCAACTCGACTCAGACTTGGCAGAAATCTTCTTCTCTTTTCTCTTTCTCATCTTGCGCTCTTCTTGCTCTTCTTACTGCCATTGTTTCCCCCATCCTACTTTACTGCCCAGCCTTCAGAACGACGGCACAGGGAAGTTCTATCTGCACTTTTTGAACATGTTATAACAATAATAATAATGATAACGACAGTTTTGATGATGATTACAGTTCTGGTGAAAATGAAGGGAGGAGTATCTGAAAGGGTGAGCAGCAGTTGGGGAGAGGAGACGTCGTCTGTGTCATTTCAGGGTTTGGAGATGAAGTGAAGGACACAGAGGAGTGATGTAGGGCTCTCATTCTCCTCTTTTTGTTCCCCGTATTCCTCAGTGCACCTGAGTACAAAGATATGTGCAAGTTTGTGTTCGTCAGCTGCCAGACTCCTGGTGTCGGGCCGCTAGTGTCTGATTGCCAGGCGAGGATAGAGAGGTCGCGCTTGTCTGCTTGTCACGCTCAGGCTGGCCACCACAACAGTGCTATTAGACAAAGTGTTGATCACAGCGAGCGCCGTCAGAGCTCTAGCGAAGAGTCTTGATGCTCCTATGTGAGTCCATGATGCTGAACAACTGGAGCATGTCTGGAAACAGCAAGGCAGATGTGGATTCTTGCTTTATTGCGGAAAGATAAAAAAAGATGTCATCTTTCTCTGAGTTTTTGTTGCCGTTCACAGACTGCGAATGACCCAGACAGCTCGTGTGATATTAGATGATGGTCTGATGTTCCGCCGCGAGATACTGTGGAAGCAGATTAGACATTATCTTTTCCCTGAGTGCTTGAAAGCACCACAGAGTGTACTGGTAGATGCCCTGCTTGTCACACACATTCAGCTCAGCTCGATATTCCTGTAACGTAAATAAAACCGTCACAGAGCAGCACCATGAATACTGTCAGCCATTAAGAGCTGCTCACAGACGTCTAATCTTTCTTAGTGTACTCTCTCTATTCTAACAGTGTGTGCTTACACATTCATAAAGACTCGTGAAGCATAATCCTGTCAGGATTTGTGTTTTTCTTTATGTCTAAATGAGCATCCACCTTTCGAACATCTGTCATGTTTGACTGACTCACCGAGCAAATGAATCAGTTTGTTTTTAGTTGAAGCGTCCCTGCTTCTGTTAATGCAGCGTTAGAAGATACTTTCAACTGGCCCCATTCAAATGATACCTAAGATACTCTGGGCCCTGCTGTACATTTTATTCCCTCTTTCATGCAATCCCCTGATAGTATCTAATGCTTTTTTGCTTGTTTTGATTTACGATTATGAGAACCTGATCACCACCAGAGAGATGTTATTGTAGTCTTATCTGCACCAGGCTAGTCCTCATCCAGCGTCTCTATAGGCCGGTGTTGGCAGCGCACCGTTTACTGCGAGTGTGTTCTGGGCAGTGCGTTTGGTGTGAGCCTCGGTGCTGCTGTGATGCACTGATCCAGTCCAGCACCCTTCAGAACAATTGGCCAGCCGTGGAGCAGGGCCCACTGTTTTGACAGCCTCTGCCTGCAGTGTCACAGCACATTACCTTCCAATTAGTTAGTCAGAACGCAGTAATATCTGCTTTCTTGGACATTAGGGACTCACTATTTGCAGAGCTAATACTCGCTAAGAATAAAAACTAACTATGAAGCATTTCCATTAGCAGGCATGAAGATGATGGATGGGGATGAAGATGTGTCACTCAGAATGAAGAAAATAATCAGGAAGCAATCGCTGTGTAAAGCTGTGAAAACCGAACGTGGTTTGAATGTGCAGGTGATGAGTCAACACAATACCGCTGCCATTTCCTTTCACTATGATTACAAGTAGCTCAAGGAGAGATACATTGCTATGCTACGAGGGTTTGCAACGCTTAGTCATCAGTGACCCTGTAAACTGGGGGATATGGCTTTATTTTTAGTAACATGAGGCATAGTGCGCTGTTACTGATCCTCAAAGGTGCACTGGAGGCTGGAAGCTTTTAGAAAAGTACTGAGTGCTTTTGCATTACAGAGTTCTTAAATGCAAATTCATTCCGCGGTCATTTTTTATTTTCAAAAAGTTAAGTGGAATGCCATTAAGTAATTACTGTAGCAGTGACAGTTTGGCAAAGACAGGAAGTTATTGACCTTAATCATTTATTGGGTTACCAAAGGCCCCACTGCTACAAGTAAATGTGAAAATAATATCAAATCAAGTTTTATTTATATAGCACATTTTTTAAATGATTTTTGGTCGAGCCAAAGTGCTGTACATATAATAATTACCTTACAGTAAGGACACTATACAGTAAATACAACAGCACAGTTTGTGCAGAATATCAGTATGAGAAAACGACACCCTCTGACCTTAAACTCCCTCACATCGTACAAGGAAAAACTTCCGGAGAAAAAATCCGGAATCAATGGAAATATATTTTTTATCGCAATATAGTAATTATTATTTAAATTTTTAAATACGGCCTTATAGAAACCCAATATTTAGATGAGGATTAAACCCCTCTCTTTTACATTAACTGCATATTTGTTGAAGGTGGAAAGATACTAAAATTTAATTCACTTTTACTTAGCTGACCTTTAAAACATGTCATCAGTACAAAATCAAGCTAAAAAGAAATGGATTATCTTCATAAAATTAGGACAAGTCAGCACGTATTGGGCTGGTAAAACTGAAGTATATTTTTTGAACTGTTAAAGAAGAAAGCCGTAAACTCTACCTATGGTAATTCTAATCCATCATTTATTCTTATTAATTTAAATAAAAGATATCAAGTGACAATTCATCCTCGTTGTCACAAAGTTAACTTTTTAATCTGAAACTGACTGAAAAAAACTCTCAAATGTGTCTGTACAGTACTATAGCCTCTACTTTCCTAAGAAGAGGAACACTGTGGCATATGATTCATCACAGGGTATCCAGAAAGTTGCACTTTCCTTAAAATAACCAGGAGTCTCAAACCTTTTATTCTCTCAGCGCCAGCAGTCAAAAAGCAACACCATTAAAATGGATGGTAAGCTCAGAGCCCAACAGTACAGAGGAGAAAGTAATTTCAAAATCCCAGTTTTATTATACCGCCACCTGTCTCAACAACTCTTAAGGAGCTGCGTTTCTTTTGGCACCAGCAGCAACGACCTTCAACAATCTTGGGCTCATGAATACAGCATGGCAGTGCTGCATATGTTGGTGACTTTTGTCAGGCTAACTCCACTCTGTGTACCTGCTCTCCTTGTGTTCAGCCTCGCTTTTTTTTCATCAGTGATTCATCCTCTGGCAGGTCATTGGTCGGTGAAGGTGTGGATAATTACCGTTTGATTTGCTGAGGTTTCATTCAAGAAGACTGGAACTGTCCACAACTCTGCCACAGAATTAAGGCTCATCAAACTGACTCTTGAGTTCAATTACATTTTAACCAAGGTGCTTTGATTTCTCTTTATAAGGTGGTCAATCTGAAGGTTGCTTTTACTTTAGGAAAAGTCAATTTGTCACAGCCATAGTAAACATTATACTGGTTAATATTAGCATGTTAGCATTGCCATTGTGCTGTCGTGGGAAGTAACATTTACTCGACACTGCGTACAGTTTTGAAGGACTTGTACTCTACTTCAAATATTTGATAATTATATTTTAAGTTGGCTACCTCGCAGATTAAGATAATTAATGC